GCGGCCGGGCCGTGGGTGGATGGAGGCGCGGAGGCCGCGGAGCCCAGGGCGCGGAGAAAGCTCGGGGTCTGCACTCCCCTTGGGCCGCAGGAATCCGTGGGGCCGCGCAGCCGCGGGGGGCTGGAGGCCAGCGCCTCCCAGGCGGCAGGAACCGGGCTGCGCTCCAAGTTCTCCAGGATTATTCTCTGCGAGGCTGGATTTGAATCCTGGGAGGCTGGAGCGATCTCGTTCATCTTCCTCGGCCTCCTCCATCTGCCCCGGGACGGGGTTCAGAAGCAGCTGCTCTTTCGCTAGCCCCAGTTAGCAATACCAGGTTGAGCAAATAAAGGTAAATGATCCCCGGTTACAGCCGGATTTCATACAAACAGCAAAGAGTTGTTTGTTTGTTTAGTATCTAGATGGGCCGTGCAGTATCTAGGACATATGCTAAAAAAGAAAGTCCCTATTGTTTATTTGGAATTCAGATTTCACTGGGCATTCTGCTACCTGGAAATAAGATTTAACTGGAATAAAAAGGTTTGGCAGAGTGAGTGGTAGACTAAAAATTTAGTTCAAGGAGTGTTTTATTATTCGTCTAAAAATTGAACTTTTTCAGATTCTGCATATAAGTGAGATCATGTGGTGGCTGTGTGTGTGCCAGCCTTGCTTGACCTACCATAACTGTCCCCTGGTTTTGCCCAGAATAGCAGGGTGCCTTTTTTTTTTTTTTTTTTTTAAGTCGGAGTAATGTTCCATTGTATTGATATACCACAGGCTCCATTCATCTTTGTTAACACTTGCATTGTTTTTGTATTTGGACTATTGTGAAAAGTACTATCAATTTCTTTTATGAGCAAAGACTTTAATTTTGTATAGTTATCCAAAAAATAATAAAAATTGTATGAGTAAAATATTTAAATTAGTGTCTGTCTAGGTTATTTTTCTTTCGTTGCTGAGAGAAAATATCCAACACCCAGAATTAAGGAAGGAAATGTTTATTTAGCTCACAGTTTGTGGAGGTTTCAGTCCATATTCGGCTGACTCCAAGGCAGAGTGGCACATGGCAGAGGGCAACAGTTCATGATGGAGGAAGACAGCAAAAGCAACACGAACAAAAGGGAGGAGCAGGCCAGGAGCAGGGCTCTTCCCCTCCCTTGTATGCAGACTACCCGCCCCAGGGCGGGTGCAGCACTCACACCCATAATCCCAGCTTTGGACCATGGATCAATCAAAAACTCTAGAAGCATGACTGTATGAGGCTTTGGGTGGACATCCACACACAAACCATAACAGTGCCATTTTAATTGATACCATAATAGGGAAAATTTACCATGATGTAAAAAAAAAAAATACCATAATGGGTAAGAACATTTTGGAAACCTATTATTTTTCAAAAGCAGAGAAGTGGAAATTCAATAAAATCTTACAAACTTCTTTGTGGTATATATGCAACCATTATTTTGAAATAATGGTTAATATTCAATGTGTTATCATACCTATAAATCTTGAATTTTGCATGGAAAAAATGGCTAGCTGTCACTGGAAAGGAAATAAAGTTGAATTTGAATAGTAGGGCTTACATTATTCTTAATTTTCCCATGCTTTTTATTGAGCATAAATTAATTTTATAACAAAAAGTTGTTACTCCCTAACCAAAAGAATTTTATTACCATTTTTTTACTATGTTTTCAATTGCTGTCCCAAAATAGCTGTAAGTTGATTATTCAACTTACCTGGAGAAAGATTAATGTGGATCACAGTTTGCAAGAATTCAGTCCATGAAGAGTGGGCTCCCTTGAGCTGGGCATGTGATGAGGCAGCAGGTCCTTTGAGAGTGCTAGGACAAAGCTGCTCACCTCATGGTGGGCAGGGCCCCAATATCCAGCACGGCCACACACCTGGAATGATGTGCCTCCCTTGTACTAAGCCCCGCCCCCTAGAGGTTCTACCACCTTCACAACATGGGCCTCTGGAGGGACATTGAAGGTCAATACCATAACAAACATGCAGGTGGAGGGACATTGAAGGTCAATACCATAACAAACATCAAAACCTAGATCTCACTTCTTTTCAAAATTTTTATTTAAAAAAAAGAAAAACATTAGGAATG